CATAAATGCACGCTACTGAAATCTGATTGGTTTGATAATTGACCAATCAAATTTCAATGAAGCTGTTTCTCACGTATTCTCAGGACAAAACATGAGATCGTTCGGGTCATATGAAAGAGAATCATCAATAACCTATAGATCAGCCAGAATCACCCCATGTTCTCTCCTTAAAATAAGAGAAAAGAACCCTATTGAAATCTGATTGACTGATAGCTCGACCAATCCAATTTTAGGGTTTCTTTTGCTTCTTTTAAGGATAAAACACGAAGTTGTTCGGGCCGATCTATAGGTTATCGAGGGTTTTCTTTCATATGATCCGAAGAATAGTATATTCTGTCCTTAAAATAGAGAAGGAAAAGATTTTCTTTTACCTAATCGGCTGATAGCTAACCGGTACCAACCAGTGACGAAATGCTCATGCTAATATGAGCGGCTCATAAACCTGAACGTAAGCTGTGCAGCCTTTATGGGTACCCCCATAGCATAGGCCTTGAGCACCTATGGGTAATTCCACTGGATAGGCGTTGAGGATCGATTTAGGTACCACCTAGTTTTGAGCTTGAGAAGTTTCCAGTACTGAGGTTAATTAGCCCTGATTAGATGAGTACTCACTTTAATTAGCCTTAATTAGATGAGTACTTATTAAGGTGACTACTAATTAATTAACTAATTTACAGTTACATAATGTTGATAGTCTATGACTGGAGTTGATTTTGACGCTGTGTTTGCTATCAACTATGAAACATGGACTGATGTCAATGGGTAAAATATGGATGCGTAAGTGAACTCCAAATTTGGAGTTTACGTGTAGAGCTCACTTTTTTTGACCTTATTAGACATATTTAATTATCGTAATAATAGTCAATCAAGGTAGTTTTCAAATTGTTTGGCAGTGAGTTTTAAACACTTCGAAATGATAGGAAAACATCGAAGAAACAATACTCAGCACTGATAAAAATGTTGAAAACATGCTTCTTCGGATATAATTTTTAGTTGTCTTGACTGGTATTTGGTAGATTTCAATCAGAAGAAGTACAGCTTAGATAAAAACTAAAATCATTTCATGAGCCACTATTTACCACTGAGCAGACTTATGGTAATTTTCAATATTTGTATCGATCTTTTGTCGTTGAAAAGTCATGTAGTCTTCCCTCGGATCAAATCAAAAGCATGAATCTCGTTAAAACACTGTTTTGATGACTTACACAAACGCTATTTCTTGTCCTAATGTAATTGTGCAGCCTTAGGATTTTTTCCATTAGTGAAACTACTTGTCGATGCGGTTCATATTTTGACTTAGTTTTGAGGGGAAGTGGGGTGTATTTTTCCGGCGACACATGGTTTATAAAAGAATTTAAAATTTTCATTAGTCTGCTTACTGTTCAACGCTGTTTCCCACGATGATTTTAGTTTCTATTCAAACTGCACTTCTGATTGAAATCTACGAAATATCACTCAAAGACACTCAAATCATGCCTGGAGAAATGTTTCCCTAGGGTGTTTTATACTGATCATTCATCTTTTTCCGATGTTTACTTAGCTTTTCAGAGCGCGTAAATATCCTTATCAAACTATATGAAAGTTAGCTTAAGCTGCTACCATATAGATAGTTAAATAGACCTGATTATTATCAGCGGTCGGACACAATACACTTATTGATTATTTCAAACGACCTGAGTGTAGTGTAAACAGTTGCAACAGAGTGAATTCTATCAGCAATTACATTCGAAACTCTTGTTTAATAGTTTAGTGTAAAAAAAATCTTTCCATGGGAAGACTTTATCGACTATTCAGCTTCTCTCCTATGCTGAGAAACTCTTCATATTGCTAGTAGATTTCATTGGTTATATCTATCTTCAACATTTATTCTCCAGCATTTATCTCATTCGTCATATTTAAATATCATCCTTCAAAACTACTCAACTAAATTTGTTTTCTTGAATACAATTCAATTCATGGAGTAAATTTTTCATATCGAAGAATTAAGTAGACAGGTCAGGCCTAGTGACCTGGTTGGGGCTCTAGTGAGTGTGTCCAGGTAAGAATAGTCTTTTCATCCATTTACAGTGATACCCACGAAATATATGCTATTTTTTCGCGCTCACTGGTATCTGACTACATTAAAAGGGGGGGGGGGTTACAAATTTGAAAGCTAACCACGACTTTGTATGCCATCTAGAGAAAATGCTTCCAGGTCAATCTTTATTATCTTCGTTAGCCTTGCTATTCCACTCAAGTTGTCTATTATGATCTATGGTAATGTTAGATACTGTGTTCTATAATCATCACAATATATCATGACTACGGCGCCAGAGACTATAGCCTTTTGCATTGATGTTTGTAGCAGGATACCAATCTTCACCACTGGCATCATTATCTTCACTAGAGTCCAATACTCTATCGGTTTGGGTTGCTTTGATGATGATCAGGGTGTAGGTGTTAGCCTTCTCTTCATCTACGCCCACACCCACACCCACACCCACACCCACACCCGACACCCGACACCCGCTTCCATACCTTAATTCGCGCCGACACTCACATAGACACCCACACTCAGTATAGATTTGCATGTATTTCATAGAAATACTTTTTACAATGTTTACGATGATTATGCCTTTTTTTCTTTTCTCTTTCGTTCTTTCTTTTCTCTCCGAAAGTATTTCAACAGGCGACTTGTTGTTTGCGCAATACTTGGAGATAAAAGAGAAACTTACAGCTCTAACCGACATTCGACATTTTTCATCTTTTCCTTTTGCCGATGCAATTTTTACTTTTCTGTGTATGGAAGAAAAGGGAACCAATTGATTAGTCATATTACATGACTCATGTTGGAAAAAACACACATCATCATTATATGAGTTTCATTGTTTCTCGTAACACTTTATAAGAGAACGACAACAACAAAAGCATATTCATTGACTTGTAGATTCATATTACACATCAGAAATGGTCGTCGATAAAACCCTGTACGATGTTCTTGGAGTCGACGAAAATGCAACAACAGAACAAATCAATAAAGTAAGAACTCTGTATCGATTTCTTTCAATAAGTATAGTAAGAAAATAGTTTCTCATGACTTTTTCTATTTTGGTTGATCAAAAAAATGTAGTTTATATTTCCTTTTCAAAGTAAACTATTTTCCATATTAGTGATGTCGTGTGTTGCTGGATGTATTCATAAAAGAAAGGATGCTTGAACTTTTTTTTTATTCATGTTATTTATATTTATAGGCTTTCAAGAAAAAATCATTAGAACATCATCCAGATCGTGGTGGCGATCATGAAATGGTATGATTATCCGCGTATCGGAGACAAAAATGTGCTTCTTTATTTATTTAGATGCAGCAAATCAATGCTGCTAAAGAAGTCTTGACTGATCCACAAAAACGAGAAATATACGATCGATATGGGTTAGAAGGAATGAGATCGGGCATGGGCGAAGGAAACTTTGGTGGATTTTCGGAATTTCCTGGAGGCAGTAAGCTATTTAAAATCATAAAAATTTCTGATTAGATATGCTTTTTTATTTTCAGTTTTTGACATATTTGATTTATTCAACCATGGATCGAATCGTCGAGGACGAGCAGCAACGCCGAAAGGCAGTGATATTAAACATATTCTGAGGTACATAAGAAGCTTGTTTTTCTTCTCTTTTTAAGTAATTGGCTTTTCGCAGAGTTTCTTTAGAAGAACTGTATTCAGGCAATACGAAAACAATATCAATCGATCGTGAAGTTATTTGTACAGATTGTAATGGGTATGCATGTATATTCACTTGTATTGAATGTATTTGTTGTTATTTTATTAATAGTACTGGTTGTCACGATGGAGTAAGTCGTGAATGCACGAAATGTGAAGGACGTGGCATTGAGACAAGAGTCTTTCGCATGGGTCCGATAATTCAACAAATGCAAAGTAAATGTTCATCATGCAATGGTGAAGGTACCACAATCAATTCGAGAAATTGCTGCAAAAGTTGTCGTGGTAAAAAAGTTGTTCGACAAACGAAGAGTATGGATGTAGATATAGCACCTGGAAGTCACGATGGAGAAACAATTAAGTTTAGTGGTGAAGGAAACCAAGTAGTAAGTTTCAGAATATATATATGTTCCATTCCATTCTGTCTTCTCTTTCTAGCCCAAAGGAGAAAATGGCACGGTATATGCCTTTCTTCAGCAGCAACCACATTCTGTCTTTGAACGAGTAGGTCATAATCTGACAATGAAATTAAAGATAAATCTGTCCGAATCGTTGTGTGGGTTTCATCGTGTCATCACACTGCTTGATGGGCATAAAATTGTAATTAAACATCCACCAGGCAAGCCTATTGTACCTAACAGCTACCGTTGTCTAAAAGGCCAGGGTATGCCAAACAGACATGCACACTCACATGGTGATTTAATCATTCATTTCGATGTGGAGTTTCCGAAGGAGAATTTCATCAAAAATGAAACTCAGCTAAAAGTAAGTCATCCTTTTATTCATCTTAGGCTACACTCTTAACTTATTTTATTTCAGCAATTGGAAGCTATCCTACCACAAAAACAGCGTGTTAGACTGAGTAGTAAAGAATATTATGAAGAAACTGAAATGTTAGAATGTGAACCACCGCTAAAGAAGTCTCAACACCAACATTTCGGAAACGGTTACCACTTTAATGGAACAGAAAATGGTGAAGATGATGATACTCATGGACATCCTCAAGGTGTTCAATGCCAAACGCAATAGGCATTTATAAATTGTTCTACTTTTTCAGCACATGGCAAAAAAACCTTCTAAGATCTGCGGTCATTTTATGAAATGCCTGTGATACTTTCGTTTTGGACAAAATAAAAATAATTGCCACAGTTTGATGGCATATTTTTAACATCTTTCTAGCATGGCAAGCGTCTCACCTTTTAGAAACAGCGTATTTGATTTTAGAATGATAAGTTTAGGTTATGGGTGGTACTAGTCTTTTGAAAAAGTGAAAATGCATTGCTCTTGTCTGTATAAGAGTGAAACATGATGACGAGACTATACATACGTGCAAAGAAAAGCTTGCGTATATTTCAGAAATTTATCAACAGTTGAAGAAGACACCACAATTAAACAAACTGTTGTTTTATTCATCAAAACAGTTAACATAACTTTACATGTTTCTTATCTTAGTGTCGCCGCGCCATTTGTCATAGATATGTAGGGAGATAAATCTTGTTGTTCCATGTTCAAACGTAGAACATGATTTCAGAGGATGATTATGTTCGGGAAGAAATGTTAAATAAGCAGTCGTTAAAGTCCGAGAATGATCATTATTTATAACAATTATGACAACATAATCTTCTCATAGTAACCATTGTCAAGTCAAAATGGATTTTTGCCGGTTATTAGATAGACATTTCTGCTTATTTTCTCGAGTAAAAGGCATCAAACTTTCGAAATGTCGAGTCATTATGATTTTGCTTGCTTCGAAAATTAACTTGTACTCTGCATTGTTTGTTTGTTAAGATCTTGACCAATCAAACATGATACCAGCATTTCTTTCCTAACAAATAGGATAGGATATGATGGTTACCGATGTTGCTTTAATGCACAACGAAAGTTGACTTAATGATGGTTCTCTTTTGTGATAACTATTTCTTAATAACGATTAAATGAGAGTTTTCTGATTATGAAGTTTTCTCAAAATAATATAACTTCAATAAAATGTTACGATCTCATTCAATATATCAGCGTTGACATATCTGTTTTCTTAGATTCACTTAATGAGTATTGACTGTACTATAGTTCAAGAAGTGGCGCAAAATCAACTGCTGACAGTCAACAAAAGGGCGTCATGCTCCTATTTCTTATAAGACATATTCTATACGTGAAAACATATAGCTGCAACCATGTGCTGTGCGTAGATATCGTCATTTTAAAAATGACGAAGAGAGAATGCGTATATTCGTCAGCTTTTCTATGGTTACTGGAGATTACTCATTTGGTGTAAAGAATACACTTCACCTTACGAATTATACATTGTGTGATGCAATACAAATATTTGAATTGTGGTTCGATTCATGGTAAAATCAACAAATCAAAGTTAATGAAAAAAAGTCAAACCTAATTCGAGACATGTGCTGATTTTGATGCTTGACATTGACACTATCTCTCACTTACGCTCATATTTGTATTTATGAGTCCGACATTCGAATTCGAGTTTTATAGGTGACAGTGATGACAATCATTTGAAATCCCAACATGTTTCATTTTAGTTGGTGAAAAACGATGATTCATATCGGGTGAAACAATAAAAAACACATAGTTGCATTCAATAAGTAGGATCCTTGTTACATTTGTATTGAATTTCGATCAAAAAAAAGTAAACTTGGCAAAGCTTATCAAACTTTCAGTTAAATACACAAGAATTCAGATTGCGATGACTTGAAAAAATGAGATTGCTCTTTTGGAATCTAGGAACAATGTATTCAATTAAAAAATTTTGTTCTCAGAAAAAACCAACTATTCGTGCGTGCTTGGAAAATTTTAATCTGTTAAATGACTACAACAAGACAAGACGAAAAGAGAGGAATAAAGAAAAAAAGAAAGACAAATGTAAATATTTGATTTGCTGCATGCAAAATTGCATGTCTTTTGGCGAAGAGGTATGATGCCATGGTATTTATGTTTTTAGCAAGGATGCACCATTTGTACTACGATTCTGCATATATATACTGATTTCTTGAGAATGACTTTTTTGTTTTTGTAATATTTCTAAAAGCTGAATAGGCACCGTATTTTTGTCATTTTAGTTGTATTGTTTCTATTTCTTTTATTATGATAGAAAATGTCAGTCATCCTGCCATCATTGTGCAATAAATTGCAATAGATCAGAAACACAAATAGTGAATGGAAACGTTCCTAACTACGCGAGTGCTAAGAATTTTCGGATTTTTTGCACATCAAAAATAATAAAGTCTGTTTTTTTTCTAATGTTTTCGCAAACCTCATCATTTGCTCCTGGGCGATAGAGAACTCGCTCTCCACCTAAAAAGAACTTCCTACCTCTCAGTTCAAGATTTGGAACCTATTGATGTCTCTGCACAAGCCGTGGTGATTCATCATACTTCAAAGCTTCAACTAATTTAATGTCGATTGTGAGTGTGAGTGAATAAAAAGAAGACCAACCCATCGACAGCTATACACTCACACGCTTTTCCACACCTTCCATCATGAGAAAACAGATCTTACAATGTTAATCTGAAATTTTGTGCATTAATAGATCTCATCACTACTAAAGTGTGTCCAAAACTTCAGCCAAAGTAAAGTTTTGTATCTCGAGAAATTTTATTCTCAAGAAAATTAGATTTTCTGGTGTTTTGTCTATAAAAAGGTGTACACATGTGAAGGATCTATTATCTGAAGAAGGAAATATCCGTTTTGGCTGAAATATGGGACTCCTAATAGTAACCAACGGTATATAATCTATCCATGTGCCTGAAGGCATATTCAGGGAAGCTTTTTTAAATCTAAGAAAGTTTTTGAAAATACATTATGATTGTAGAATCTTTTTTGAAAAATTATCACGCCTCGAAAATTTTCGACATTTTTGAGACAGTGAAAGTTCTTCGAATGACTCTTCTGTTCAGGAAATTTTTCTTTTTTACGGCAGATTCTGCACCTTTATTAGTAAGAAAAGTTGAATATTAAATTTCTCTAGTTATAGTCTGTCATAGGTCAAAACATCAGAAAAAGCCGTAAAATTGTTATAACTCGACATAATCGATCCATGGACTTTAATATTTTAGTGTTGACCTAGTCTCTATAGATCATGTATTATGAAGAAAGTGTCATCTAGAAAGCTGTTTTTATCACTTCATAAGGTCTCCTCGAAAGTCGATTAGAATTCGAATCAGGGTATTCTCATTCGTTTCGATCTCTGGTTATTACAAACTGATGTATTCGTTAATCTCAATACACACGATATCAAATTCCATCGCACTCACATGCTGATTTCGCAAACCCAACTGCACACTGTAACCACTTCATAGATACGGTTTTAGACTCAATGAGCACATATATCAATTTCTCTTGGCAAGACGAGTATCTCCTCAGAAAGACAGGAATTCGAGGTAATTTGGAGAGTCACTTCGATGTTCTATAGCATGAACAATGTCTCCGGTGGCATCGTGCTAGTTATCGATAGTGTATTGAGGTCGATATCCGATGTGTTGGTATTGAAACATTACTAAATATTTTTCATCGAAACTCACGACGTAATCGATTATGAGAACAAAAATAATTCGAAAACTCATTACTTAACGAGTCATTTTGATGCTAATCAATCAAAAATCCGTTGTGATAGAACACAAAAATCGATTGAAATCGAGTCAAGTAAAAGAAATAGGAATAAATGAAGAAGGTTCAAATGCTATTTATCCGATATTTGCATCGGTCAAAATTTTCTTTTGTTAGTTTACATTATAATCGATTCAATAAAAGTCGATATAAAGATAATGAATGATTAAAAGCATAGACTTCTGATACGCACTCCAAGCGAATAGAAAGGGTGTAAAATATCCATACTTTTCTGACGAGATTCTTTCATGAAAGGAACTCTGAAGTTCATCACAACCTGTCCTCATATCACGAGAATGTCCAACAGACACACAACCATGTCGTTCAAACCAAATTCGCGTACATCTTGCATTTTCAGAAGTCATATTTCTGCGACTGCCAATCCAAAATATTAGAATAAGTGAAGGCGGGAGCTATTGTCTTCTCATCATGGGTGACCAAAGCGAGCACTCCGATTGAAAAAAAATTGGGATTCAGAACTATTTGTTATCTCTCCCTGTCATTCATGCCTAGAATAATGAAATAAACCATCTGCACCATTTTCGCATACTCTCTACCTTTATCACCTGATATAAAGCATCATGATCACACATTCATTTTTTCTCATAAAACTAAGCAATGCTCTTTTACCGTCTTCATGTTGTTTTTCTGATCGGTGTAATACTTTTGGTTGGAACAAGTTTTAATCATGAAATCAACTCACAAAAAAATGTTGGTGCATTTTGTGCAAATGATACATCACAAGGTGACCCTAATTTGAATCCGATTGATGATAATCCACCAAAACTCATACGTACAGTGGAAAATGGATCACTCTATACGATCGGTACTGGTGAAGATCAATTATGGTTGGTACATGTTTGGGGTGAGAGTGGATACGATTATGGTTTTGCATATGGAACACTTTTAAAAGAGCAGATCACACAGATGCAACCTATTGCTTGGGCTCATTTTGAGAAAATGATTATAGATGAATTAGACAAGTTAAAATTACCAAAATGGTTTGAAGAGATTGTGGCCAACAAAGGTCTTGCTTTTGCATTAGATTTTCAAAATGCATTAGTTGAAGTGTATATTGATAAAGAAATTTATCAAGAAATGCAAGGCATTGCTGATGCAGCCAATGTTGATTTTCTTACAATTCGACGTTTGCATATGTTGGGTGAAATTACAAGAGGTTTGCAATCAGCTTTAATATTAGGTGTTTAGCGCTTTCATTTTTCTTCCTGCTAATAGGTCGATGTTCACTCTATGGCCTCTGGGGTAATGCAACTTTTGGAAGTAAAACTCTCCAATTACGTGCATTAGATTGGGATACGCAAGGTGGTCTTCAAGACTTTCCAGTAGTTACTATCTACCATCCTCGTTCACCGAAGCTCGGCCATGCCTTTGCCAACGTTGCCTGGGCAGGTAGACAACTGATATTTTACTGAATCGATAGTGGAAAATATCCCTAGTGAAATTGAACTAAATACTCATGCAATTTTTAACAGAGAGCCAACTGATATTAAATCCTAATTCGAATTCATAGCTTGAATTGAATACAATCCCATGAGTTGGTATTCATCAATTCCGATTTCATTTATGCCAGCTTTTGAAAGTAGCTAAAATTTACCTAAATCATAAAAGACTCAGAATAAAGCTGAATTGAAACAAGTTTTTATCAGTTTTATATCATCATTCACCGAATAGTCATTCTGACCGAGGAACTTCAGTGTAGCTGCGTCTTCCAATAAACACTTGGGCAACGTATCAAAGATAATCAAAAATCCAAACTTGAAAAACTTATCAGAACTGTCGATTCCAATACTTTATCGCACAGTTATTTTATTCAGACATCTTTTATCGGAAGGAAAAATCACCACTTAATTTGAGGCGTGTTTTGAAAAGTTCAGATTCGTGAAAGCTATAGAGACTATCCCTTCCCTGTTCAGATATATTTTCAACCAAGCAACATTGTTAGAATAAAAAGATAAAAATATTTTACTTCGAAAAACTTAGATTTTGTCAACAAATGAGTCTAGTCCCACATTTTTCTACGTATCGTGTTGGGGATTGTGTAAAACTATAGAGAAGTATTTTTTCTTCATTTGCTTTTTCCTGTTTTTGAATTTTATTCTTCGAATCTCGCAATTTGAAAAATATTCCAGAAGATACTTTTGCAATGTTTTTCGGAAGCTTCAAAGTTCGATGTTCCAGTCACAAAATCAAAATTTCAGAAAACTTAAAGTGAAATTCTAGAGTTTCTCTCCCTCTTTCAAATGAGTCTATTCTGAAATTTTTCAGTTCAAACTTGGGAGACTAAAGTCATTTTTACACTCGCTTTCTTCACCATGAGAAAACAGTTCACAATTTAAGAAAGAACTGCTTCTTTCCATGGAACATTTAGACTAAAACCATTGTAAATCAATTAAAGAATGATATTTTCCATAAAATGTATATATATTTTGAAAGAGCACTCTTCAGGCTACAAAACTAAGTGAAAATCGACAAATTGACGTTCTAATTACAGAGATCCTCTTAAATTGATAATAAAAAATCTAAAGAAATAGCTCAAGATAAGATGCATTATTCTCGGAAAATCTCCATCGAATTTAATTAAAGATCACAGGTAAATGCAGATTTCTTGCTTTCGAAGGATCATCTGATGAAAAACAATTGAAAAGTTGAGAAAACGATATGGTTTCAATTGAGGTCGATCGTGCTTTTATTTGAAATGAACTAGTATAGGTCTCTCCTTGAAGAAATTGAGGCTGCAAAAAAGTGGGATGAGAACTGATGCGTTCATAATATTGGGTACTATAGAGGTTTGCTTTTTCAATAAGACCGTAACTTGAAAAAAAAAGTATTTTCGGAAAACGCGTCAAATGTACTTATGTAAATATGAAAATTCTTTAAAATTTGTTTTTTGTTAGAAATGTTATTGTTTTTTTTCTTGTTGTATGATTAAGTTGACTTTCGCAAAATTCAAATCTCAACAACAAACAATATCTAAAAATCTATTTATGAAATTGAGTGAATTTTTTTTTGTTTTCTTGTCCTTTGCAGGTTATATCGGTACATTGACGGGAATGTCATCAAAAAGAATGGGCATCTCCGAAATAGGAATCTATTTTTCGGATGATACGTTTGGCGATGAGAGTATGAGTGGACTACCATTCATTTTTGTCGAACGATATATTTTACAATTTACGGAAACACTCGACGATGCTCTTTCATTTATTGCCAATGTTAAGCGAACATGCCATTTAGTTTTGGCTGTAGGCGATGGAAAATTAGGCACAGCTCGCATGATTCAATATTCGCATTCACGAGTGAATTTTTTCGATGATGAAAATCTACAACCTTTGGCCGATTGGCATCCACGCATACCCAATGCTGTTTATTGTGGCATGGATTGGCTTTGCCCATCTCATCAATTTAAACTGTATAAGCAAATAATCTATCAATATGGACAAATAACACCTGAATCATCCATACGAAACATAACTTCAGTGGCAAAAACTGGTGATTTACACATAGGTCTATACGATCTTACTGACAATATCATGTATGTGGCCAACGCTCGTGGCACAAACGAAACAGGCCCACTCGAAGCTTACCAACGTCAATTTGTGAAAATTGATCTCAACATTGAATTTGCTCGTGTACAGTCATCAATCAAATAAATTATCTGATGAAAAATTTAGCCATAGAAATTTAATTTAGGATTTACGACGTTTTTTCATTGAAATATTTGTTAAGCATTCAACAATGAGCAAGAGAAATGATAATGAAAACAATAAACGGATAGAAAAGAAAAATCTTCGTTTGAGTTACTACTGTACAACCCTCTTGGATTTTAAAGAACCCATTTTGAGATGTTCATGTGCAAAGATCATGATCTGTATTGTATCTGATTGAAACCGATCTACGTAGTTACAAAACTATGAGTAGAGTGGATGTGCGGTGTGGAGTGTAGGATACAGTAAGCAATCGGGAAGGAACATAGACTTGTTAGGTTTGGATCAAAATCGTAGCTAGCATTGAAGCCACTATGCTTCTGTGTTTAACTTTATCTAGTGTTCTGATTCATATCTTATAGACCTGTGGAGTTTCGTCAAGCTTTTTATGCTTCAATAAGGCGAAAGCATTATGCTAATTATGACAAAAAAAATGATTACTATTGAATAATGCAATGTTTTTCCGAGATTGTGCAGAGACTTTTATTCAAGCTTTAATGCACTATTTGATTGAGTGTGTCGTCATCTATCTGTGTTGGATGCACAAAGTTGTGCATTTAAATTTTGAATGTTTAGGATTATTAGCACAAAAAAGTTATCCATAATTTTCATTGTAAACTGTAAAGTGATGTGCTTCGTACCTAATGATTTTTTCGTTTATAACAGACTGTTACTAAGTTATATTATCTTTCTAGATTTCGTCGCAGACTAATAATTTTACAAGAAGTGAATAATTGTGAAAGTAAGAGCTATTTAATGCTACAGTAATCATACTATGAACATCTGAGAGCATTAATGTTACAAAGAATCTTAAAAAATATGATAACATTCGCAAATTCGTTCTTATAAGTTTCAAAAGGTATATCATAGAACAATTAGAAACTTTTCAGAACATTTGAAAAAGAATTTTTTTGAACACTTCGAAAATGACTTTGCAAAATATTCTAAAGAGAACTTTCTAGAAGTCATGAAATCATTGACCATGGTATATTTCTCTCATTTCATTTCCTCGTAAAAAAAAATGCATCATAAAAATAGTTCGCTCGCTTATATACGATGAGTAATCATACTTCAGAATCAAATTTTTAAATGTTGATAAATTCATTTTGATGCTTTTAGACTAAGATTTCAGTGCTTTCTTCATTTATCATATATGCATTTGGAAAATAATTTCTTATGTATTCAAAAAGCAAAAACAAAAAAGATCTTTATATTTCTTATAGTATGAGTTTCGATGCACTAAGTAAATTAAGTTAACCAGTCAGATGGCAAGCTACTATTATTATCGTGAAAAGTACAATCGTATAATTAATCTTCGTTGCTGATCAAATGGAAATCCAAAGAATTTTAGACTCAAGCGTATGTTTTACTTTATCCTATTTAAAGAGAAAACTTCGGCTCAACTATTTTGTCCATAGAGGTGTCAGTCGATGCGCTATTTGGCAGCGAAAAGCTGCCATTTTTTGATGAATTTTTTAAAAATTATCTTAATTTCGATAAAACTTGAAATGAAAAAGAGAAAAGCCGATGATACAGAAACTTATTGGTACGAAACTAGACAATAACATGGACAAAAACTGATTAGATACGTCTAAAATTTTCAAAAATCGTATACTTATTTTTTTGTCGTGGTGGCATGGTGGCATCGCTTAAGCTTTCTTTACGGCGGTTAATATATCTTAAAAGGTCTACGACTGTCATCGATGGGCGTTGATCTGCATTGGAATGCAAATTCTCTGTTAACGTGCATCCACACCCATATTTTTCTTGTATTTCATCGTCTAAAAACTATGGCAATTTACTTTGTAATAGTTATTGATTTATCTATTTAATCATAATATTCATTATAAATGAGTTCATGATTGTGATTTTCAACTAAAGAGATATACCTATTACGTCCCACGTATGTGTAACATATTTTCTTGTCGATAGTCGATATTATCTTTCACAGGTTCTGTTTGCTTATACTGACAATTTAGGTGATAGAATTCTTTGATTGAAACAACTGTTTCGTGTGTTGAACTGCTCGATATCAGTTCTATTTGAAATTACTTTATTGTACCGATTTGATATTTCTGCTAGAGAACAAGAAAATAAATTCAAAAAATAATATTTTACATTTTTCTTTATAAGTTTTTTTTCTTCATTCAATAGAACAATATTTTTCAATTTACTATTACTAAACAGATTATTACGAACGTCTAAATAGACAAGTATCTTCATGTTATAGATATCTGAAGGTAGATTGTTCAATTTATTGTTATTAATTCTAAGCAAAGCTAATTTGTTAGCATATCAAATTTGAGCTGGAACTTTTCCAATTTCATTAATATCGAAAACGAATGCTTTGCTACAATTTGTGCATGAGAACCTAATATTCTCATATCAATGATATTTGCCAGTATAGATTCGGTAACTGAAGAAAGATATGTACTATTATCAAGATTTATACCGGTTAATGACCTGATTTTTCCAATAGCTGCTGGTAACGTATATAAATTACTCTTAGGCAAATATAAAACAGATAGTGAATGTAGATTAACAATTGTATCTAGAAGAGTGATAAGGTCTCAGTATTGTACAATTCAAGTACTGTTAAATGTTTTAATTTGCCAAATTGTTTCGTTATGTAGATCACTGTAGTATCATAAATACTTAAATAGGAGAGCGATACAGTCAAGCATTCGATATCAGGCGAATGTTGACGAACAGAATTTTCAATGAGTTCAGATTGATAAAAGTTCGAACTTCTTATATAAAAATATCTTAAAGATTATAAACAAAAGATAGTTTGATTCCCATAAGCGAGAGCAAATGTCTTCTAGAAATCATAAAAAATTGAATTAATCTGAATAAGAAATAGGAATGATGCAAGAAATTCATAATCATTGACATGTTGAGAAGAATTATGTGATGATTTTTTTAGTGAAGTAACTTCAATATCTATAATATGATATGATTTCGAAATTTATTGTCGAATGAGATGAATTATTTGGATTTAATACATTCGATTTTTGAGTGCAAATTTCAACAAAATATTTAAATACTATGCAGAAAGTGAATTGATTCATTTTTACATTGTTACTCTACGTTTCATATGTGTGTTTATTCTTTATATTTGCTGATTAAAAAAAAATACTTCGTAAATGTGACAGTGTCGATTTAATGATGATCATATACGTGACATTATTTCTTTTATAGATAGAACATAGTAGATAATAAGAATGCCGACAAAAATTCTTTTGAGAAAAGTAAGACTTTCTTCTTTCTTAACCTTGTTCTCTAGCAAAAATAAATACGATTAATAACACGATGAATAAATAAGATATTGTTCAGAAATTCAAGGACATAATCAAGTTGCATGAACTTAATTGGTAACCAATATGTTCAAAAGATAACTATCTGTTTTAATAATCATTGTTTTGATTTTATAAATCATATAAAATAAAGTGCCGCATAGGTTTCAACAAGAAAATAGTCATTCATATTTTTTTTGAAAGATTTTATTAATACAAAACTGAAACAAATAGATTTATTCTAGCGGTTGACAATAGTTCAAGGAACAATATTTTAAACACATGTGTTGAACATATTCTTTTCTTGTTAAGCATACGTTTCATAATATAAGATAATCTTTAAGTAAATGCTCTATGCTAAAAGGATATAATAAAGTCATTTGGTATTTATTTTTTATGATTATATTAGTATTTTGTTATACACAAGACAATCTAATTATTGTGAACGTCATTATTTTGTTGACAAGTAATACTTCGAAACTCTCACAACAACTTAATAAATTAGGAGGTGTATAAAGAGAAGAGTTCCTAGATATGAAAAGTTTGAAGTAGTTCCCCAATTGCCTCAGTAAAGTTTCCTATTTAATGTACCAATGAACACTCAGGTCACGATGACATTGATTTAATTTGAGTAAATAGCAAAAGTCGAAGTTAATATTACAAAAGCCTGAGAACTGATTTTGCAGTATTGTTGGATTTCCATGCGTAATGAAAAGATGCAATGCATAGGCTTGCATATGAAAATGAAATGACTGATCATTGTCCGAGCGAGACACATGACGAACGTGAGAACGACTATTGACTTTTGTATAGCACATATCACTGTTTCTTGAATAACTTTAAACCAGTACATGCTATCCAGTCGTCATTTTCACCATTCAGTAGAACAATTTTGAGAGGCAAATATCCATATATATAATTCATTACAGTTGTAATCTTCCCTCTTAGCACTTACTTGGCTGACATCTTTTGCGATGTCTCATTATCAAGATTCTAACAATCACCTTAACAAAAATTCAACCGAAATGTAGTCCGTCGATTGCTCGGTCTAGGATAAAATTTTAAGATTATTCTATTCTACTCTTGAAAAATAAGACTTCAAATTGAATGACTCAGAAACCATTCAATGAACGCAATGAGAGCGAACCATTCAGAGATATGTAAATTTTCGCTTCGATTAAATGTTTTGTTGACATTTTCTTCTCGGTTAGACGCATTTGGAAGAATGATTCTGCATCTCCTGGCCATGCTGTTGAGGCCTGACAGTAGTCTAACCATGAACACATCCATTTGCTTCTAGTAAACTCTGAAGAAAAGAACAATTAATGTACAGATGATGGTGTGCAATAAGTGAGAAACTCAGATTCATTTGGATTTGAATGCAAAATCGCTATGAGCTCGTGTGTCTTACCTAAGGGAAATAAATTGATTCGTTCGCTGAGAAAGTATTAGAAATCGCTAAAAATCAAGGAAAAAACCTCATTTGATGAATTCTAATCTCTGATGACTTCAGGATAAGAGTAAATAGATGAGAGTGTAGCGATGACATAAGGGAAGTAAAAGCGTTCATCTTTACTTACGCGTCCCTCTCAAATGTCTAATCTACAAGGCGTATTACAGATCTTATTTTGAGTCATGTGTAAATTAAATATTTTAGAAGCAAAATACAACGAATGTTGACACGGTATGATTGATTAGCCTTCAGAAGGCTGTAAGAGTTTTCAAAAAAGCACTTGATTTTGAAAACTTCTCTTTTCTTTTACTTATAATATTCAAAAATTTTTATCATCGTGTCAACATGAAATGACACGGAAATTGATGGGTAAATATACCATTGTTCTTTAACAATCTATCGTTCTACTATAAGCAATTGGAATTTTAGATTTAGTACTCTTCAAATGATTTAATGAAACAACATTTTTCTGCTTTTAATCATGGAATTTTTCTCGTGATTACATGATGAAAAGAGAGCTAACTGATAAGAAGGAGAAGAAGGACGATGATAACATTTCTTGACTGTCAGTTAGTAAAACGTTCGAAAAAAACGAGAGAAAACGTATGCAGTAGGTCGCACTTCAGTAATGAAACTTTCGTTATCTCTCTCTTTGTCATCTCGACGTTTCTCATCTACAACAGAATTTTCTACATCAAGTTCAGAATACTGGTTCAAAGCACAGCAAACACACGACTTTGTTGTTGGAAACTTGTTGACGTCTTACAATAGCTACCGAGTCAATACGACCAGTGAAACAGATGTTGCTTATGAATGGTATAACGCCAGTCAAATCTACGCAGATGCTGCTATGATTCAAGCTGGCGATGCACGATATATTCCCTACATGAACAAAAGCTATGCTTGGATGAATAACATGTGGGACACTTTGAGTAGTAATGGTGGTTACTATGCAACTGCCAATGTGGATGGAACTGGTAGCGGAGGTGATAAATATGCCGACGATAATAGCTTAACAGGTATTATTTATCTAGATGGCTACAATGTGAGCACTGGTACCACGAAAGCCAACTATTTGAATTCGGCAATAGCCTGTGCACATTGGTTGATGTATAGTGGTCAATGGGATTCTGTGTATGGCGGTGGATTTTGGTGGAATACAATCCGAGAAAGCAAGCCAACACAAACGAACGGTTTAGCACTGCAATTGTTCTTGGGACTCTATCAAATAACAGGACAGATCTTTTATCGCGACTGGTCATTTTCTGTGAGAGACTGGTTAATGAACGAAATGTTCGACGCTACAACCGGTTTGTTCATTTGGAAAATAGATGGACCGGGTACAGGTATCAAACATACTGAAAACTTCACCTATGACAATGCTATAATGATCGAAGCATTCTTGTTGTATGCGCACATTATCGGAGATTACAGCTATATTGCAAAAGCGCAAGCATTAGGTAACAGAATGAATACGATTCTTTGGAACAGCACCTATCAAGTTTATCTTTTCTACAATACAAGCGAACGAATAAATCCGGCATGGTGCGGATGGGCATCACAAGCCATGATAAAACTTTATCTATCCGATGGTAATACTACCTGGCTTGATTACGCTCAGCAAAATATTGACTATATGAATTCGAAACTAAGAAACACAACGAATTATGGTTATTATGCTTTCTGTGATGTTGACGGAAGCAATGTTGATACAAGGCACGAAGGTGTCGATCAAGCTTGGATGCAACGAGTGCAAATGCTTTTGTCTAGTTACAGATAATTATGATAAGTTTCATCTAATTAATCAATAATCTTTAAACTAATGTATTATATGTTTGAACTTCGAAAAAATAAAATCAAAGATTTATAAGCAGATGCTATGCAGAAATTATTAAACGAAATAAATACTAATTTCTGATGTTTTTTTTTATTTTCTTGATTGATTTTATCATCGTTATGTTATTTTTTCTAATATTTATTTTTTGTTTTCTAATGAGAATGAACTGAAAAACAGAACGTTCTCACATAGCATCTGAGTGTAGACCAGATATAATAAAAAAATGTACGACAGAATAAAATAAGAAAAAAAAAGCTTGTTAGCGCAGCCCCTTTGGGACTGAAATGTGGAACTCATATATACACTCTAGCCTCATTAAACGAATACAAAATACGTAAAGTGATAAATCTCTAGTAGGCTATAGCTGTCTTGCAGGGTGATCGATGTCTAGAATAATGACTTCTCTAATTTCTTCATTTCGAACAGAATTTTTTCATTTTTCTCTACGAGCGCCCTATTCTTTTTGTTTGCATTGTTGCTTTTCGCTCATTATTTTTCATCTTTTTAAATTCGTTTTTCTTAATTTAACATTCTTATTATTATAATCATTGAACTAATTGACAAATAAGTCTGTTTTACATATTCATCATATCTATAGCATATATATCGATCAACTGACAAATAATGATATTCATTATTTTTCAAAATTATAACTTGATCAATTTTCCAAAAAAAAAACACTCGAAAATCTGATACCTTTTATTATTGGTTGATAAGGTCTGTAATGGGAGCCTACGTTGCTAAGTGTCTGTAATGGACCTTCGATTGCTATGGTGTCTGTAATGTAGAGGGGGGGGGG